TGAGAGGAGCTGACCAAAATAATATCATCTACATAGACCAAGAAGTACATAGTAACCTCAGGCCTTTGAAGAAGAAACAGTGAGGAGTCAGCAGTTGATGATGCAAAACCATGAGCACGAAGAGCCATTGCAAGACGAGCATGCCAAGCACGAGGAGCCTGCTTCAGACCATAAATTGCCTTGGACAGACGACAGAGATGATCAGGGCGATCCGGATCAGAGAAACCCGGAGGCTGGCGCATATAAACCTCCTCCTCCAACACACCATGAAGAAAAGCATTTTGAACATCAAGCTGACGAAGAAACCAACCTCGAGTAACGGCAAGAGAGAGAAGAAGTCTGATGGTAGTAGGCTTGACCACTGGACTGAAGGTGTCTTCATAGTCAAGACCAAAACGCTGTCGAAAACCACGAGCAACCAGACGAGCTTTGTAGCGCTCAATGGACCCATCAGAATGCCTCTTCACTTTGAAAACCCATTTTGAATCAATGACATTAACCCGTGATGGTGGAGGAACAAGAGTCCATGTCTGATTGCGAATAAGCCCTTGATACTCCTGCTCCATAGCCTCTCTCCAATGAGGAATGCGCATAGCAGCTTGATACGTGCGTGGCTCAGAGGATGGATCTACAAGAGCAGCAGACATGCACGCCGCTAACCAAGCAACTGTTCCATCGTGACGCTGCTTAGGCTGAAAAATGCCACTCCGGCTGCGCGTATGTGGACGTAGAGCAGCAGCAGGAGCCGGCGGAGGCGAGGGTGATGGAGACGTCACGGTCGACGGAGATGCCGTCGTTGCCTCAGGAGAGCCCAGGATGGACGGCTCCGGGCTGAATGGCGAGGCCGGACCCAACGACAGTGGCCCAGACGGCCTTGGCGAGGAGAGAGCAGGCGAAGCCGACGAGGCGAGAGCAGGTGAGGCCAACCCTGGTGACAACGGCCCAGACGCCCTGGGCGAGACGGGGACCGGCGAGGCCGGCCCAGTCGCCGGGGTCGCAGGGCGCGACGGTGGCGAAGGCAGCCCAGAAGCTATAGGCGACCGGACCGGGACATCGATCAGCCGTGCATGGGCACGGGAACCGAGGCCATGCAGGGGCGCCATGTGCTCCTCATGCACAACAGAAGGTGCCGACGAGGAAGGCGATGGCGACGAAGAGGACGATGGCACCTCCAAGATCTCCAAACGAGCCCCACGACCAGTGCCTGCACCATGGTTAGGCAACAACAGAGGAGAATATGCAACATCATCAAATTGGTCAGAAGCAACAGAGGATGAATGCATGGTTGGTGGCTCGGTAGTAGACACAGGGAGTTTGGCAAAGGGAAATACATGTTCATCAAACACAACATCCCGAGAGATGTAGACACGATTAGTGGGCACATGAAGACATTTGTATCCTTTATGAAGAGAGCTATAACCAAGAAAAACACACTTCTTGGAACGAAACTCAAGCTTGCGCTTGTTATATGGACGGAGATGGGGCCAGCAAGCACAGCCAAACACCTTGAGAAAGGTGTAGTCCGGTTGTTCATTAAGGAGAACTTCAATGGGAGTCTTCATGTTCAAAACACGAGTGGGAGTGCGATTGATGAGAAAACATGCAGTGGTGAAAGCATCACTCCAAAACCGAAACGGAACAGATGCATGAGCCAAAAGAGTCAGACCAGCTTCAACAATGTGACGATGCTTACGTTCTACTGAACCATTCTGCTGATGTGTATGTGGACATGCTAAACGGTGAGCGATCCCAAGCGACTGAAAGAAGGAGTTGAGGTTGCGATACTCGCCGCCCCAGTCTGACTGAACATGAACAATTTTGTGCTTGAGAAGGCGTTCAACATGTTTTTGAAACTGAACAAAAATGTCAAACACATCAGATTTACGTTTGATAAGATAAAGCCAGGTAAAACGACTGTAAGCATCAACGAAACTGATATAATAATTATGACCACTGACAGAAGTCTGAGCAGGACCCCATACATCTGAAAACACAAGTTCTAAAGGATGTTTCACCTCACGACTGGACTCCGAAAAAGGAAGTTGATGACTCTTCCCCTGCTGACAAGCATCACACACTGCTACATCTTTATTACTGGACACACTAGGAAGCTCATGACGACGCAAAACATGCCGGACAATAGGTGTGGCCGGGTGACCAAGATGAGCATGCCACTGTGACGGAGATACCCGAACTCCACTGAAGACGCGAGCGACGCCAGGATGCTGCAGACGATAGAGGCCCTGGCAGAGCCGCCCACTAAGAAGAATGTCCCTCGTGCCCCGATCCTTAATAAAAAGATCAAAAGGGTGAAATTCACAAAGCACATTATTATCACGTGTGAGTTTAGGAACTGAAAGAAGATTACGTGTCATAGATGGAACTCGAAGAACATTGCGAAGCTGAAGACTCCTATTGGCATGTCTAGTGAGAAGTGATGCTTGACCAATATGAGAGATGTGCATACCTGCACCATTGGCGGTGTGGATCTTGACGGAGCCATGATAGGGTTCCCGAGTGTGAAGCTTCCCCATCTCGCTGGTCAGGTGCTCTGTCGCCCCAGAGTCCATGTACCAGTGGGGATCGATGGAGTAGGACTGAGTGTGTCCCTGTTGCTTCTGCGGCGGCGGACGATCAGCCATGGCGACCTGACGGGCAAGGTTGCGTGTATCCTTGCCGTCATTGCCGAGACCAAGGAAACTCCGCTGGAAGCGCTTGTGACACTTCGAGGCCCAGTGCCCATCGCGGCCACAAAGCTGACACACACGCGGACCGCCAGCCCCCGGTAATGTCGCAGTAGGAGGGGGGGCCGAGGCGGCGGGCGGTAGTGGCTGCCCCGAAGGAGCCCGTGATGATGAATAGGAGCGGCCACCCTTGGTGGCGGCGTTGGCCGAGAGGGAACCATTGCCCCTGGAGAGGCGCGTCTTGACCCGTTGCTCAGTGAGGAGGAGGCGAGAAAAGACCTCGTGTGCCAGCATGGGTGTCGAGTTGCCCCGCTCGTTGATGATCTCGACTAAGGCGTCATACTCCTCATCAAGACCATTGACAATAAACGAGCTGAACTCGGAGTCGGTGATGGGCTGTCCAATGGAGGCCAACGTGTCGGCGAGGCCCTTGACCTTGTTGTAGAACTCAGTGGCAATGGAGTCAAGCTTCTGACACTCCCCAAGTTGACGACGGAGCGCAGATACACGAGCCTGCGACTGTGCCGCAAACGAGCGCTCAAGAATAGTCCACGCCTCATGGGACGTCTTGGCGAAGACAACAAGACCAGCAACGGCCGGAGAGAGCGACCCCTGGATGGAGGAGAGGTTCGCCTGGTCCTGCCCTGTCCAAACACGGTGAGCCGGATTATAGACCGGGCCGTGCACGCTGTCCACCAGCGCAGGAGGGCAAGGGAGAGATCCGTCGACATAGCCAAGCAGGTAATGACTCCCAAGGAGCGGAAGAACCTGCGCGCGCCAGAAGATGTAGTTGTCTGACGACAACTTGATGGTGATGAGATGGCCGAAGTGAAACGGCGACGGCGGCTGCGATCCCATCGAGGAGACTGGCTGAGGTGCAACCACCGTGGAGACAGTCAGAGAGGCAACCGGCGCGGTGACAGAGGGCGCGACAGCCGCAGTTGATGCCGCGAAGCCCGCCATCACGGCGTCCTCCGCCACCAGCGGCGCGGTTGCCGAGGGCGCGGTGAGCGCGGTTGACGGGGCGGCGGCGGTGTGGGTCGCAAGCGCCTGGCCAGGCGAGGAGGCAGCCGGTGGTAGCGCGAACAGGGAGCCAACGCTCCTCGTCCCGATCGGCGCCTGAAGAGAGGCGGCGTCCAGCGGTCGCGATAGAAGCGCCGCGAGGGAGGCCGGCAGGAACCCGGCAGCGGTGGACCGGACGCAGCGGTGGACGACATAGCGGCGATTGCAGCGGTCGGGCGACGGCGGCGGCGGTTGCGGCGGCGGCGGCGGCGGCGGTGGTGGTGGCGGTTTAGGGTTTTAGGCGGAAGCGGACGTAACCTAGCGTGATACCATGTAAGACAATAGGTTTTTGGGGAAACCGGCACAACCCTCTAGGGGTGGCCTATCACATATATATAATGAGGTGGTATACAATGTTACAGTATACACATGTAAATACAGAAACTATACAGTCTAACACTACCTATCTACTAGTGGGAGTCGAGACACCAGGATTCTCCTCCCCGCCATCCCAGTCGCGTAATAAACCTTCTAGGGCAAGTAAAAAATCGCAAAAAAAAAGGCAATTAAAAAATCGCAATTGCAGAAAAACAAATAACGAACGGGTTCGTGGCCTCCGTTCCATGGCTACCGCGGCAAAGTGTAACAGGAAGAGCAAAGAGCATCTGCCGTGCCACCCGACTGACCGTCCCGGCTCGCGCTGAGCAGTCCCATTTCCCACCGCTTTGCCAGCCCCAGCCCCTCCTTCAAAGTTGAAAACCTGCCACCCTTGCGCCCAGCCTGGGTGCGCTGCGCCTGCTCGCTCGCACGGCGCCAGCAGCAGCAGCAGGAGAACAGGAGCCCCGCCCGCGCGAGTGGTTTCTTTCCTCACCCACGCGCGCGGCAGTGGCAGCGGCAGCGTCAGGTGCCAGCGGCCTGCGCTGCTGCTCCCACTGCGACTGCGACTGCAGGCCGCGGCATGCAGGCTCTGCGCCCTGCCTGACCTCAACACTGGCCGAAGTGACCCATCCTCTGCGCCACCACCTCACCTTAATTCCCAGCAGAGCCCAACCCCACCCCCACACCCACACCCACCTGACACGCCCTCATATGTGTCACCGCCCAGCTCAGTCCTCCTGACACACGCACAAAGCTGCAGTAGTCGCGGCGAGCATTAACACCCCCCCTCACTCACTCACTCCCATCATGGCTGTGCCTCTATCTACCTCGAGCTTAAAGCCCAGGACGACTCGCCTTGCTGAGTGAATGTGAGTGAGCTCTTGCTTGTTTAACACTCGCTTTGTGCAGTGGTTGGTGCGGCCGGAGCCCGGAGAGATGATGCTGGGAGGGCACGGCGGCGGCGGCGGCGGCGGGAGGTGCCTGTTCACGGCGTCGCAGTGGCGGGAGCTGGAGCACCAGGCGCTCATCTACAAGTACATGGCCGCCGGCTCGCAGGTGCCCCACGAGCTGGTCCTCCCGCTCCGCCACCGCGACGCAGCCTTCGCCGCCATCGACACCGCCCCCTCCCTCGCCTGCTACCCTCCTCCGCAGCCATCCCGTACGTATATATCTATCCGATAGTAGTATCTTGCATCGTTCCTTTGACTGGTCGTCTGCCGTTCGCTTGATCTAGTAACTGACTGTGATGCATGCATGGGTGGTGTTTTTTTGCTTGCGTGCGTTCGTGCGTGCAGTGGGGTGGGGGCTCTACGGGGCGGGATCGCAGTACGCGCGGAAGCCGGAGGACCCGGAGCCCGGGCGGTGCCGGCGGACGGACGGCAAGAAATGGCGGTGCTCCAGGGAGGCGTATGGGGAGTCCAAGTACTGCGACAGGCACATGCACCGCGGCAAGAACCGTTCAAGAAAGCCTGTGGAACCAATGAGCTCCGCCTCCTCCGTCTCCTCCCCGGCCGCCTCGTACCGCCACACCGCCCTCTCCATGTCGCCCCCCACGCCGGCCGACACGCCCAGCTACGGCCACGGCCACGGCCACGACCACCTCCGCGCAGCTGCTGGTCAGAGCCAGATAAACCCTCTCCAGCTCCACCTCGACACCCCGTCGCCCCCGCCGTCCTACCACAGGTACGCGCCGGCGCAGCAGTACGGGGGCTCCTTCTTCCCGAGCAGGCAGCAGGTGCAGGAGGAGGAGGCGAGGCGGCGGCAGCACTTCCTGGCTCTCGGCGCCGACCTGAGCCTGGACAAGCCGGACGCCACCACCGCGGCGTCCTCGACAACCGAGGAGAAGCCGCTGCGGCGCTTCTTCGACGAGTGGCCGCGCGACGGGAACGCCGTCGAGGGTAGGCCCTGGAATATGGGCCACCGGGACGAGACGCTGCTCTCCATGTCCATCCCCACGACGACGGCCTCGCACCCCGACCTCGCCGCCGCCTCGCGCTACCACCACCACCACAACGGTACGTACGCGTGAAAGATCGGTCGATGTATCTCGATCTACTACATGCAGTGCATTCTTCTGATCGATTTTTTCTGCACGAGCAGATGAATAATCAACCAACCGGCGGATCCCGGTGCTGCTAGAAGAAGGCTGCTTCTCCAGTCCAGTCCAGTCCTTCTGCGCGCCGTAGTCAGTGGATATGAAGTGATCCATGAAACCTAGTGCTAGTACCTGGTTTGATATTGTATCCGGTCGATGTTAGGGCCGTTTGTTTCCGTGCAATCTTTCCGTTTGAACGTCCAGAGCAACCCGATTTCATCTGTGCTCCATGTGAGCTCAAGATCTAGACTCTAGAGTGTAATAGGAGTACTGGTACTACTGTAGTCAGGGCACTGGTGCCTTTTTATTTCGTTATATCTTGCTTGCACGCTTCGGCCTGCTGCGACCACTTCATCTTCTCTGCCTCCCATGGCTTGTCAAGTCTGCTGATTTGACTCCAGCATCGTTGCGCAGCGCGGCATGACTCATCTGGTTGCGTTGCTCAGAGATGCGCGCCAGTGCCATGCTCTCGTGCAAGCGACGGGAGCATGTGAGCGGGGACGAATCCCTGTAATCGTCTTTGGAGAAAGAAACAAGGCGAACCCTGCGCGCGCTCTGGCGACGTGCACGTGAGGGGCTCTCGCTCGCTCGCTGACGGCGCCACGGCGTGGTTGCCGCTGTCGGGGCGCGGCTTGGCAATGGCACAGGGTCAAGAGGCCCGCCTTGCCTCGCGCAGGTGAGGTCATTATTCCACTGCCTATGAATGATGCTCAGCAGGCAGCCTGACGCCTCGCGGGTACCTCGATCGCCATCACCCTACGTACTTGTCCGGACGCCTCCCTCGTGTCTCGGTCTCGTGCCAACTGTAGAGGATACATAAGGCATTTTGATTGTATTTCTTGGGCAGAATATACGAGGGAGGGGATGTGTAGCACGAAGGGCCGGGGGCACGCAGATTGTGGCCGCCAATCCACGTGAATACTTGAAATGGGTCTGTTTATGACACATCTAGATGTGACATAGTTATGTTACATCTAACCTGATTTTCATTATGTTTGTGGTCTATTTTTTCGGTCCTAATTTTTTTCTTGTTGATGCATTATATAATTATGGGGAGCTTAGATGTGATATCCTTAGAAAACATCTAGATGGAATTAGACAAATTGCTCGGAAATTTGTTTGTGTTTATAACGTTTGCGCCTTGTATAAGATTTGGTATATATATGTGTGTGTAATGGTATTGTACGAATCCGTATACTTGTCCTTGTAGGATCGTGTAACTAGTGTGGGCTGGAGCTGGGCGCGGCGGCGGGGCTCCTCCCTCCACCACAGCGGGCCGCGGTTCCGGTGCCCCGGCTGCACCCTCTGGTTGGGTGATGCCCGCGGGGAGGCCACCGGCGCCGGCTTTGCCTTCGTGTGGGCGTGGCGGGCCCGTCATCGGCCCTTGTCTGGTTGGCTCAGGCGGTGCGGCGGGAGCCTCTGCAGGTCGGGGGGCTGCGCCTCCTAGGCCTCCTGCGCCTGGAAGCCGAGGGGCGTCTTCGGGGCTGCTGCCTCGGCCGGCTCCTTCGCCCCACCTCGTTGCTCGTCCGCCTACGCCGTCGCAGACTAACGCCGTTGGTGGTGCTGTGGCTGCGCCCCGGGGTCAATGGGGTGACGACGGCTACGATGTGTATGGGGCGGGCCAGTATCGTGGTTCTTCGTCCTCAGGTGGAGGTCGGGGTTATGCCTGGCAGAGCGACGGCTCAGCTAAGAGACCGTTCTTGGGTCCTTCTGGTGGCTTTGTTGAAGGGGCATCTGGTCCGGGACAACGACAACGGGGAGGTTTCCGTGGCCATCGGGGTGGCCGAGGCGGTCGCGGGGCCAGGTACCGCCAACGTCATCCACCCCCACCTCCTGCTGTTGTCGAGCAGACGACAGACGGGAATGCCAACGAGCCAGAGTTGAACGGTCAGGCCATGGAGGTGGTGACGGCTCTTGCTAATGTCCAGGTCCCGGAGAACGAGGTTATGGCTGATGTGTCTGTAGAGATGACAGATAGGGCTGAGTCTGAGAGAGCGTCTAAATGGGCGTGTAAGAAGGAAAAGATGCTTTGTTATCGGTGTGGTGACAAGGGCCATTTCATTGCAGAGTGTGTGGCTCTCTTATGCGATGCTTGTGGTAAGCCAGCACACGAGTCTGGGGACTGTCCGATGCTGCGTGATCAGGCACCGTCACTCATGATGTATGGAGTATACTGTGCGGAGCTTACTTTTTTGAGTCTCCTAATGAGCGAGAGGTTACTGATGAGACCCTAAGCATTACTACGGGGATTGTCAAGGTCACCAGAGGGGAGGTGTCGGAGACTTAGATCGTGTAGAGGCTTCGGGAGCTGGCCCCTGGGGACTTTCAGTGGGAGTTGGTCAGTCTTGCGGACAAGATGTTCAGAGTTGAGTTTCCTTCGGAGGAGGATCTCCAGAGGTTGCTGAGTTTTGGGATGTGTAAGGTGCCGGGCACTGAGGGCGTACTTGAGTTTCATGAGTGGAAGCAGGTGGAGCCTCAGGGTAAGCCGCTTACTCAGGCCTGGTTACGGTTCTCTGGGGCTCCCTCCAAGCCGTTGCAGGATGCTCGGGTTGTGGCCAGCTTGGGTGTTTTGGTTGGGAAGCTTGAGCGTGTGGACATGGAGTTTACCAGAGCTCACGGGATTGCGTGGGTTTTGGTTAGCATTCTGAACATTGAGTATGTGCCGGAAGTTGTTAAGTGAGTTTATCGAGGCAGGATATACAATCTGATTATTGAGTTTGAGGACGAGAGCTTATTGGATGTGGGGGCTAATGGGTCTAACGTGGATATGCACGAGGGCGATGGCAGCGCCAGGGCTGACGAGCCGCCGGTAACAGGCTCTGGACGTCAGCTGGCCAACGGGCCGGAATCCGAGACCGCGACGACCGGGGATGGGGCAGCTAACCCTCCTTCGGTGCCCACGACGACTCTCAGATTTGGGTCCTTCGAACCCACTTCTACGCCTCCAAGGCTGTGGAGTGATCGGGTGGAGTCCGATGAGGCGTCTGAGCTCGCGTTGCCAGCTTTGGTTTTTGAGGATTCTGTGTGTATTCATCCTGAGGTCCCTAGGGCTCTGTCGGTCATGGTCAGGGGAGAGGAGGAGGTGAGTCGGCAGGAGGCCACTCCCTCTCGTGCTCAGCACGCCCCCTTCCTCGGGACGTGGCACCGGAGTTCGTTGCTGGTCCGTCGGAAGGGGCCCTGGGGCAGGAGGCTTCGGGGTGCTCTTCTTTTGCCGAGGCAGGGGATTCGGTGCAGGTGGCACCCATACCCTGCTCTTCGTTGGATGGGGGTCTGGGGCAGGCGGCCTCGGACTCTCCATCTCCGGTTGCTTTTACCGCTTTGCTGGTGGCTTCTGTGCCTTCGGGAGGGGGCTCGGGGAAGGTGGCCCCGGAGCCTTCTTCTCCTTCTCCTTGGGCGCCTCTGGTGGCCGCTTCTCCGGTGATGGGTGGGGAGTTCGGGCAGGTGGCCCATGCACTCCCTTCACCCCGTTCGCCTGCTGGGGATTCCATGCACACGGTCCGGTCTTCTGGGTGGGGTGAGGCTGGAGGCCCTACCTCGACCAGGATCTCTCAGGAGGAGGTCATTGCGTTTGGAGGGATTCAGGATTCGATGTCTCAGGGGCGCCAGGTGAGTGGCCGTCTCCAGGCACAACCGGATGTGGATGACATTCAGCAGCGGTGCGCCATGAGGGCGGCCAAGCTTCGTGACGTGGAGGTCACTACTGGTATGTCGGTCAATACTTATAATTGCATCCTACATTTTTCAAATGATGAGATTGTTGAAAATGCAAATCAATTAGGAGTTTCGCTGGGTAGTAATGACACTGAAATCTCTAATTCTGTTAATGATCTTCTGGATCTAGAGGCTGAGCGGGCCTTAAAGATGATTCGTAATATTGCGGCTGTTAAACCCATGAGTGATTCTGAGGTTGATGCGCTCGGGGTTAGGGTGCTCGACAATTTTTATGCGGATCTTATGCAACCTATTACTGAGGCAGATGTGGAGGATGATTCTACTGAGATAGTTTTGGCTAGCCCCTCTGAGACTGGTTGTGAGGACCGGTTGCAGAGTCAAACTGTCCCCAAGCGCAAGTGGAAACGGAAGGTGTACTCGGTGTCCGCAGTGCGTAGGAGTGCTAGGATTCGTACGGCAAAAAAAATTCCATGATGAACTATGAAAGGAATCTTTTGGAATAGCAGAGGTCTAAAGGACTTGGCTAAAAGGAGGTTTCTTGCTGAGGCGTTTGTCGAGCATCGTTTAGATTTTATCGCTCTATCGGAGACGGGTAGAGATAACTTTGCGCCTCAATTTCTAAATACTTTGTCGGGGGGTATTGATTTTGATTGGCATTGCTTGCTGCCGAGAGGGAGATTGGGTGGAATCTTACTCGGCGTTAGGTGTGAAGCGCTTGAGGTTCGCAGTGTGGTCATGGGTGACTTTGCAGTCAAGTTTCGTGTGCGGTCGAAGGAAGATGGGTTTAATTGGGCTCTGCTTGCGGTATATGGTGCTGCGCAGCCCAAGCTCAAGCCCAAGTTCTTGGTTGATCTCGTTCGGATTTGTGGTTCCGAGCAGTTGCCTATCCTGGTGGGGGTGATTTCAATATAATTAGATGGCGTGAGGATAAGAACAATGATAACTTTGATGGCAGATGGTCGTTCATGTTCAATACTATCATTGAAAGTTTGGACCAGAGAGAAATTGAGCTCTCGGGTAGAAAATTCACCTGGGCTAACGCGCTGCCAAATCCGACATATGAGAAGTTGGATCGAGTGTTGGCCAATGTCGATTGGGAATAGAAGTTTCCTCTAGTAACAGTCCAGGCCTTGTCCCGTGGTATTTTGACCACACGCCGTTATTTGTGGACTCTGGTGAGCCCACCCACATGGGGAACAAAAATGTGTTCTCCTTTGAGATGGCTTGGTTTGAACGAGAAGGCTTCCTTCATCTCGTGGCCAGAGAGTGGGCTAAGGATTCAGGAGGGAAGACTGCGCTTCAACGCTGGCAGAATAAGATTAGGCATTTGAGGAGTTTCCT